TCAAAGGAAGCACAATGACCCCAAAGTACATAACAGATGCGAGGACAGAAAGAAGGGGGCTTTGAGGGAAGGAGAAAATAAATCTCCTGGGCCTGAAGTAAATAAGATTCAAAATGCAAACAAGACTTTACATTAGAAACTTTACCAAATGTTCAGGTAAAGCCTAACCAACATTTACTCCTCAACAGCAGGTACAACGCACACACCCCAAACGGCATGTCACTCCGACCCGTCCTCCTGGCTGTAGCAGGTCAGATTAAGCCAGGCTGACCAACCACACACTCAGCAAATTACTGAACCACTCCTTAAACTTAAGAAAGGAGCTCTGGTAGTACACTGGTTAAGTGCTCAGCTGCTAACTGAAAGGTTAGTGGTCTGAATGCACCAGCTGCTCCATGGGAGAAAGATGAGGCTTCTGTAAAGACTGACAGCCTTGCAAACCCTCTGGGGCAGTTCCACTCTGTCCTCTAGGGGCGCTGTGAGTCAGAATGGACTCCATGCAGTGGGTGTGGTTTGGGCTTTGCTTCTGTGAAGACTGACGCTTTGTAGTTCCTGTGTAGGGGCGCTGTGTGTCAGAATCGACTTGATGGTATCTGGTCGACCTTAAATGATTTCCTCAACTGAGATATCAATATTTGCCCCTCACAGTTGTGCCAACTGAAGGAGATAATGCAAGGGAAATACTTAGCCCAGAGTGGTACCAAGGACTCTCACCATGGTCATCATCTTGAGATGCAGAAAATGACTTTCAGAAAACAGAGGCGTGAGGGGGATGGAAATGTAAAGCAGTGTCAGGCGGGGCTGCCCAAGTGCTGAGGGGTTTATCACTTGATGCTACAGCTCTGGCCGGTGGAGACCGTAGATGCTGACGCTGACGTACCACAGGCCAAGGGGGAGGGGCACTCGGTTTCAACTGCAGCTTCTCTCACTGGGGCCGTGTCTGCTTTCGACAATGCACCGTGTTTCCAGAGCAGACCTTCAGGGTACATCCACGTCACCCGGGGTCTCAACTCGTCATCCGATTGGGAGACGGGCGGTGGGGGAGGAAGAAACCCACGTTTCTAAGTACTCGCGCGTGCGGTCTAAGCACCCTGCTTTGGGCAGCACTGACCTGGGATGGGCTGGACATCAGACCTGTAGCTCCCGTCAGTAGACTGTTACCACGTCTCTACCTTCACGGACTGACGCTGTATACGACTACAGAGGCCCATCTCAAGAAAAGGGGATTCAAGACTATGTGTTCAGAGATTGGATAACCGAAGATTTAAACCTGACGCTGACTGAGCCGTGAAATCTCAAGAAAGGCCGAATATGCCCAGGTCTCTAGCCTGGCCATGACCTCAGCCCGTCAGTGAGCGCGTGCCACCCTATGGTGTGTGCTGCCCTGGCCTGACGTTCACCCTCGGCTGGAACACAGCCAGCAGCAGGGAGAGCTCGCCTTCCAAGGCCGGCCTGTCTTTAGAGGCCGACTGCGTTCTGACACCAAGGAGAATTCCGTCTGCCTCTACTCCCAGCGGCGGGAAGTGGTCTGAGGTATACAGGGCCACCCACCTGACGTCTGTTAAACTCCTGTGTGCTGTCGTTTTTATCATGCAGATTCAGTAACTAGAAAGCCAAACTCACTCCACTGCTCTGAGTGGATTCTGAGGCATGGCCACCCTGCAGGATAGAGCAGAACCGCCCCCTAGAGCTTTCAAGGCTGTCACCTTTATGCAAGCAGACTGCCTCCTGTGCTGGGTTCAAACTACCAACCCTGCAGTTAGCAGCCGAGCACCTAACCACTGTGCCACGAGGGCTCCTGAAGCACCATTTACCGACTGCTAATTCAGCTCAGCTTTTGTGTGAGCCGCAGGGATTAAAAATGAAATAAAACCCGGTCCCACCCTTAATGTACAAAACAGTCAGAGAGCTAATGGTCAATTCTTATTTTAAGGGTTTGTCCCTCTAAACATACAACCAAAAACCAAACCAAACGCACTGCCATCGAGTTGACTCTGACTCACGGCGACCCCCGCTGGGTCTCCAAGGCTGTCCATCTGTACGGAGGCAGCCTGCCTCATCTCTGCTCCGTGGAGCAGCTGGGGGTCCCAACCACGGGCCTGCGGGTCAGCAGACACA